GCACACGCTCTGGCAGTTAACAGTAAGTACACAGTGCTCCCTACACATCAGACACTGTTCTAGGTGCTTCTATGGTCCCGTCTTTTCATCTCAAAACAGCCCTAAGGGAGTTGTTATCCTGATTTCATAGACGAGGACACTGTAGGACACAGCAGGTACTCAAATAAATCTTTTGTGAATAAAACCAAGAAGCCAAGCCATCATCAATCACTTTGTTCTCTTTCTGCTTTTAATAACGACTCGTTCTTTCCTACTCCTGAACTTCTTTTACAGTTCGTGTTAGAAATTTGGTCTTCAAAACCAGCAGAATCATGTCTACAGGGGTTGAGAGGAACAGGACACTCTAGTTAATAGGATTATGGTCTAAATTAAATCATGAGCTCAGAAGCTGTTTGGATTTGCGGGCAATCTCAAAAGACCACGACTCCATGGGGCGCCTGGGTGGCGCAGTCGGTTAAGCGTCCGACTTCAGCCAGGTCGCGATCGGTCGTGGAGTTGAGCCTTTGTCCATGGGCTACTGATAATGTCAGAGCCTGGAACTATTTCCGATTCTGTAATCTCCCTCTCTCTGCCCCTCCCCGTTCATGCTCATCTCTCTCTGTCCCAAAAATAAATAAACGTTGAAAAAAAAAAATTAAAAAAAAAAAAAAAAAAAAGACCACGACTCCAGAACTCATCTCTCCTCCCAGGGTTGTCTGCCTGTGCCAAAAATATAAATAGGCAAATATGGATGATACCTGTTTTCCTGCGAGAGCATCAGTGGATTAGGAGTTCATGATTAAAACAAATATTTATTAAGGTAAAATAATATGATATTGCTGTTCCTCAGGTCAAAAACTGTCAAATGTCTGTAATTTTATATGGTTCAACTTCATAGATTCTGTCGTATTTTAATGCATTGGCTGCAGAGTTTAATTTTCTAGGTGAATGGTAAAGGAGAGGAAACTGGTTAGTGGAAATTAACTAGGTTGGTAGTGTTTTATAGTGTATTTTATTTTTCTTACAGTAAATTGCGTCAAATTTTAATACGTTCTCCTTTACATATTTATTGAACTTCTTTCTTTTGTATATCCTTGTTTGTTTATTGATTTTAAAATTATGTAGATAGGGGATATTCATTCATACATACTCCAAGGAACCTTTGAGGCATTGCTCATTCAAATAGAATATTTCATATTATAATAGTAACGTAGTGTTTCAGCTGCTAAACATGTTTCAATTTATAGACTACGTAAATATCTTTTTAAGGGCACATTTCCAAGGGCACCTGGGTGACTTAATTGGTTAAGTGCTCAACTCTTGACCTCAACTCAGGTCATAATCTCAGGGTCATGAGTTCAAGCCCTGCGCTGGGCTCTGCACTAGATGTGAAACCCGATTAAAAAAAAAAAAAAAAAAAAAAAGAAAAAAAAGAAAAGAGAAAAGGCACATTTCTAGAAATAAATGTACTGTTTTATCACAAAAGGTGGCATTTTCTTTCAGGTTAGTCCCCTACTAAAAAGTGCCTATTAAGTTACTGAGAGGACATTTTCTGACTACAAAATCATAATAACAATTTATCTTTCCACTCCAGAAGTTCTCACAAAATATGAATATGGCCACTTAAAGTAGCCAAAAGCGTGTAATTTCAAGGTCTGTGCCTGATTTGCTCACTCTGAACTCAGATTATTACGACTGAATAGGGGGTTGGTGTCCTTAAATGTGACCAACTGACCACCAACTTAGTGGTATTTGTATGTTTTCAGTACTTCCTCGCTCTGACAATAATCCAAATTCTAAAAGAAGAGTCATATTTCTGAAATGAATGGTCTTCATGAGATATTTTTCTACAGTGCTATATGCTTGTCAAGTGCCCGGAAAAATAATTGCAGAAGTAAGCTTGTTACACAATAATAAACAGAGAGGCCATACATAGCCCACTCACCTGCAGGAATTCTTTATCCGATTTGGCAAACATTTTTGAATGCACACAAAAAATGAGCCGGCCACTGCATTCCAGATACTGGCCCCCCCATCACTATAAGAGACCCCATGCATGACCCAACTCCCTTATGAGGCAGGATGAAACCAGTCCTGTGAGAGCAGAGAAGAAATAAGTACTTCTCACTGACAAATCTGAGTCACATTTCTTGTATCCCGCATACTTTATTTTTCAGTCCCTTATACGTTTGCACCCATGTGCCTTGTAACAGTAGGGGTGTGGCAAAGGGAAGTTTGGGTGTCAGTCTTCCATCTGCACATAGAGTCCCCATTCCTCCATAAACTTCAGGAGGTCGGTTTCCTTGTCTTCCGACGGCTTGTCTGGAGCCTGCTCCTCATACAGTCTAGACAAAAGGCCCTCCTCCACGAGCTCCTTGGACTCAGGCTGCTTGCCTCCCTCTGAGCCATGTTCAAAGCTGGGGAAGGACGGTATGCACAGCCTGCCGGTCCGAGGGTCCCAATCCACCAGTGTGGTCGACGGCTCTTCCTCTCGCTCCTCTTCTGTGCCCACGTGCTCCTGCAGCAACTGGTCCAGGTCTCGGAGCTGAGGAGCATACGAATACAGTGGTGCCTGGGGGCTCACGTCTGCCAAAGCAGCCTGTTGCTCAAAGAACGTTCCTTGTAGGGACACCTTCTCCTGCAAATTGAGCTCAGGGCCGCCAGGCCCCACACAGACGTCTGCAGCTCTGACATCATATTCGTATTCAACAACTGCCTTCTCGGTGGGTATTGCTCTGCCTGGCGACCCTTGCTGGGTTAGGGAAGTGCCCTGGGTGCTTTCCCCAGAGTCACAGGAAATGTCCACCAGATGTGAAGCATACCCTAAGTGTTTCACCTCCATTTCCGCCTGACGCGGCCGCTGGTCCCCGCCGGGCTCATCCCCATCCGACCCATCGTCGCTTTTTTCCACTACATCCTTATGAGAAATTTTAGAATCCTCCAAAATATTGAGGGTGATAAAATTAATCACAATTTTTTCAGCAGGTACAAAGAATCTTTTGTCAAATTCATTTCCATAAATCAAAATCTATAAAGAGAGAAGAGAATGGTTTTCACCTTTTCACTTGAGAAAGACATGAAAAACAGCTGTTAAGTAGAACTTATACTGTCATCAGATAGTTTTAAAGACCTATTCTTACCCACTCATGGAAGTGAAAGTTATTCTTGGAATAAACAGGAAGCCTCATTCATGGAGGCGAGAGACCCAAGACTCGAAAAAGGCATTGGAAGTGAAAAGTGGTTCCCTGGGTGAGTGTTTATCCGACCCAAGGATCAGGGTGAGACAGTGCCCTTCCCTCCCTGGCTGAGGGAGTTCAGGGGAATTATTTAATTTCTTGAGTCTCGTTGTTAATTCTGTAAAATCTGGATTTCTGCCACGTGAGAAGTGGTGAGGACCGAGTGAGCTAGTTTTGAAACTGCTTTGTTAATTATGGGTGATGACGTATTTCTTAGTTAGCTATGGTTCCCCAGGTTACCAGCCCTGTGTTGGATATACTCCGGACATGAGATGTGGGCGGGCATGAAAACTGCATGTAAAAAAAGAAATACGCACATGAGTAGGGATGGTTTTACTCATTCCCCGGATACCACTCTAATCACAGTATAATGAGGCCAAAAAGGGAAATTCGTCTGCCTGTTTCTGGCAGATAGAGAAGCTCTAAATCGTGTCAGGGAAACTGGTTTGAGATTAAAATTGTGCTGGGGCTATGGGGAAGGTGACTGTTTAGATGGCAAGTCATGAATTATGTGACAATCCTCATTGTCCACCCCATGAAGTGATTCCATTCAACACTACAAAATATGACATTCAGGGGCGCCTGGTTGGCTCAGTGGGTTGAGCGTCCAACTCTTGATTTCGGTTCAGGTCATGATCCCAGGGTTGTGGCATTGAGCCCGATGTTGGGCTCTGCACAGAGCTTGGAGCCTGCTTAAGGTCCCCCCACCTCTCTCCCTCTGCCCCTCCCCGACTCGCTTGAATGCAAGCGCGCACGCGCTCTCTGTCTCTCTTAAAAAAAAAAAGACAAAATACGACATTCAGCCTCATTCCTTTACAAAATTTTGGTTCCAGAAAGCCACTTGTGATCAATTCCCTTATGAATTTTCCTCCCAGGAAAGGTCTCCCTGTGCCATTAGGAAGCTAGCTCTAAAGCCTAAAAGCAGGCAGAATAATAGAAATGTTTAAATGCCAAACTACCAGCTTGCATTGCGTACATGGATGCATTGTGCATATGTGAACATATATTTTAATAACAGGCAAAGAACCCATTTTATCATTGAAATATGCCCAGCCCTTCAGAACCCTTCAGTGCGCAGTCCAGAAGCATAAGGTTTACTCCTTCTTCTTCTATTTTCTTGCTCTCCTTGCTGTGAATGATTGTCCTGGCCATTTTCCTATGTTTTCCACTCCATGCCTGTCTCTGGCCCTACATCCCACCCTCCTCTTTTAGACTCTCCCCTTGGCTCCCCTGGACAACTGCCACAGTCTCCTAGCTGCTCTTCTTGTTTCTAGTCTTAGTCCCTCCAAAGCTGTCTGAGACCCACCATCCAGTTGGATCTAAAACCCGATATTGACCATGAAGCTTCCTACTCAAAACCCCACAGAGATTTCTCCTTGCCAACAGAATGTAAAATCGAAGCCCCTTAGAATAACATCCCGATTCTCCTGTCCCCTGGCCCTAACACCCCCCTCTCCACTTTCACTTCTGTAGCTCCTCATCAGCAACTGTATGGTTCAGCAAGACCATGTGGTTTTCCAAACATCTGCTCACCTTGGTCCCTGCTGGTTTCTCTGCCAGCAGTAGGTGCCCTCTTACCCCCCTTTCATAACCAAGGCAGGGCATAAAGCTTCTCCTGGACCCCAATGTGGGGTTCAGTGCCCTGCCTGTGTCCCCAGAGTCCTCAGTGCCTGCTTTCATCTTAACCTTCACATATCATTTTGAAATTCGAGTCCTCAACTGAGCTTGAACGTCTGGAAGGGCATAGATCGTGACTTAATTTATTTGTGTACCTCAAGACCCGGTCTGATCTGCTCATTAAACCTAAAATCTTTGTCAAAGCTGAGGAATCTTTCTCTTTCGTTATGTTAGTGAGTTAACCTAGTGCCAAAGTGTTTCTTTTTTAATTAATTAACTCTTTAAACTCACCCTGCTTGTCAAAGGAATGTGTCTGTTCTAGAGCCTCATTTTCTACTCTGCTGAAAGTGAGTGGTTATAATGACTCCTGCCACACTGAGCACTCACCAAATTTGCTGGGTGTTTCTCTTTGCCAACATGGATATATCTGTACATGGAGTAGCCCATCACAGAAAAAATAAACACGGCAACAGATATGGGCAAAACATACCAGAAGATGATTTTAACCTTCAATGCTGATGTTTGATCTGTAAAAAAAAAGAAGAGGGATAGATAGTTGTGATGCGGTATGGTGGGAAAACATTGGCAATGTCATGAGGCTTTGGGCCAGTTACTTACACTTAGGAATTCAGTCTTATTTATTAATTGAGAAGCTTGAACTAAACGTGATAAGGGGTTTCAGAATTCTTACTCTTTGACAATAGCTGGTCTTAGGGAATCATCTGGACTTACGGATGCCTTAACAACCCCATCAGCAGACATTCCAACATTTTATGTCTGGCTATGAGATTGATGCTGGGTCTTATATATCTGAAGCTAAGTGTGTCTAACATTCAGACAACTCATATGCTTTAAGCCAACCCACAAAACCCTCTTGATAGGATCCCATTAAGCTGCCCCACTTTTCCATGTACTCATTGGACTCAATCTTTTCCATAGACTCAGCAGAAGACAGGAATGTATGGCATCACCTTGTGTGTTATTAATAGAACCATCCTCAAGTGGGTTGGCTAGACTTTCTGGGTAGGGAGCTTGGGATGTGTGTAGGGAGGTGGCTGAGCTGGTGTGTGTGAGGATGGGCAGTTACTCCTTTCCAGGTCCTGTTGCACTGTCAGTTCATGATGGATGAAAGTCCATAGGGGACTGGAAAGACCTGGTGAATAGCTTTTGAGAAAGCAGTCCTGGCCCACCATCAATCAGACTATACAGTTGTGAATAGGGCTTATTGTGACTCACTTATATTTGTTGCACTCCTGTAGAATACTAGAAGTTGTGATGGATATTTTTCTGTCCCCATTTGGCTAATCCATGGTACCCAGCTCTTTGGTGAGATATTCTAGATGTTTCTGTGAAGGCATTTTTAGATGATATTAGCATTTAAATTAATAGACTTGAGTAAAGCAGATTAATTGTAAAGATGAAATCTTTATAATGTGGGTGGGCCTTATCCAATCAGTTGAAGGCTTTAATAGAAAAAGTAGTGACCATCTCAAGAAAAAGACAATTCTTTCAGCAGATTACCTTCAGACAAGAACTATAACATCAACTCTTTCCTGGCTATCCAGCCTGCTGGATTGCCCAACATATTTTGAGCTTATCTGCCTCTACAATCATGTGAGCCAACTCCCTAAAGTAAATGTCTCCATATATATATATA